TCTTTTAAAAATATTTTTGCAGGGCCGGCGCTGCGGCTCACTAGGCTAATCCTCCATCTAGCAGCGCTGGCACACCAGGTTCTAGTCCCGGTCGGGGCGCTGGATTCTGTCCCAGTTACCCTCTTCCAGGCCAGCTCTCTGCTGTGGCCCGGGAGTGCAGTGGAGGATGGCCCAAGTGCTTGGGCCCTGCACCCCATGGGAGACCAGGAGAAGCACCTGGCTCCTGCCTTCGGATCAGTGCGGTGCGCCGGCCACAGTGTGCTGGCCTCGGCGGCCATTGGAGGGTGAACCAACGGCAAAAGGAAGACCTTTCTCTCTGTCTCTCTCTCTCACTGTCCACTCTGCCTGTCAAAAAAAAAAATTTTTTTTTTTTGCACCAAACTAAATGTCTGCCTTCCATTTCCCATGAACTTTCTGAAGTACGCTCATATTTCTGTTGGACAGCGTGGCCTACACTTGTGAGGTGGGAAGGGAGACGTAGCCTATGTGTGTGCGAGGGCCCAAGGACAAACACGGGAAGGGTGTGCGGTTGAGCGAAGGAAGAGCTACAGAAGCAGGCCCGGGAGTGGCCAGGCATTTACGCATCAAGTCTTGCCCATGTCCAGGAACCCTGGCTGTGGGTCCCAGCCCTGCTCAGGGGGACTATCTGGTCCAATAACCCTGATAAAGCAGGGGGAGGATTCCACACTCAGCAACATCCCAGGAGAGGCAGGCAGAGGGCCCAAACCCATCAAAACGCGGGTCTGAATGCAGACCGGGCTCGGTTCTGTGCTGACGCCCGCCTGGCCTGCCGGGGTCTCCTCGACAAACCTCACACACTCGCTTAATGGCCGGTCTCCGTCACACGTCGAATTCATTTCTGACAAGACCAAGACCTATTCTGGCCGTCTCCGTAACAGCTGCTCCTATTCTTCAGTACGTACGTCACATTCCACCTCTTTTTCCATAGCTAGAGTTCTCTGATTTACCCCGTGGCTAAAAATAATTGTATTTTCCCAAAACTCTCCTCACCTGCACCTCTTAAATCACATATTACTCTCTACCCTGAGTCACAATTGTTTCTGTAATGTTTACATGAGTATTAGCTGTGAAGGACACTATTTACGTTAAATAAAGTAAGTGCCCTTTCATGAGATTGGGGGAAAATTGCAAAAACAAGCCATGAGGGACCAGCCCTGTGGCGTAGTGGGTAAAGCTGCTGCCTGCAGTGCCGGCATCCCATATAGCCCCATTGGGCCATCTTCCACTGCTTTCCCAAGCTCATTAGCTGGGAGCTGGATGGGAAGTGGAGCAGCCAGGACTTGAACCGGTACCCACATGGGAGCCGGCATTGCAGGTGGCAGCTTAACCTGCTATGCCAAGATTTTATTTATTTATTTATTTATTTACTTGTTTTTTTAAAAGACAGAGTGACAGAAAGATATTTTCCATTTGCTGGTTCTCCCCCAGAACAGCCCAAACAGTTAGGAATGGTACAAGCCTAAGCCAGGAGTCCAGAGCTCCATCCGGGTCTCTCATGGGGGTGGAAGGGGCCCAAGCACTTTGGCCATCTGCTGCTGCCTCCCAGGTACACTAGCAGGGAGCTGGATGGGAAGCAGAGCAGCCAGGACTCAAACCAGCACTTCAACGTGGGGTGCCAGCATCATGGGTGGCAGCTTAACGCACTGTAGCAGAGTAGGTTAAGCCGGCATCCCATATGGGCAGCAGCTGCTCTACTTCTGATCCAGCTCCTGGCTCCTGGCTTCAGCCTAGCCCAGCACTGGCTACTGCAGCCATCTGGAGAGTGAAGCGATGGATGGAAGATCTCTCTCTCTCTCCCTCCAACTCTTTCAAAATAAATAAATAAATCTTTTTTTTTGGGGGGGGGAGATTGTTTTGTTTTATAACTATTTTTATATTGGGGAAGAACGAGGGGAAAGAAAGCAGCCCCTAATACTGGTTCCTACTCCGCGGCAGCTTCTTGTTCCATAGGGCTAAAGCCGGCTTTGAGGAAATAAAAGTTTGGGAAAATCCAGGTGTAGCTGCTTTGCGTGTTGTGATGGGCAGAAGGGATGACGTGAAGTGTGGAGGCCCCTCACACCCTCCATCTTGCCCCACACTGTGACCTGGAACCCTGGAGGCGAGCAAAGCACCACTTTCATTCCTGCTTCTGTGTTGATGGCCGTGTAGTGACAGAGAATGACAAGCAAGAAGAGCAACACACCCAGCATGTTGCCAGCAGTGGCTAGCTGTACATCCGTGGTCATCCAGATCTGCCCGGCTCAGATCCTACGCTATCTCCACACAGATAATAAACAAATACACACACACACACACACACACACACACACTAGAGGCTAGCACTGTGGCACAGCAGGTTAAGCCGGCATCCCATATGGGCACTGGTTTGAGTCCCAGATGCTCCTTCTCCGATCCAGGTCTCTGCCAAGGCCTAGGAAAGCAGTGGAGGAGGGGCCAAGACCTTGGGCCCCTGCACCCACTTGGGAGACTCGGAAGAAGCTCCTGGCTCCTGGCTTCAGACACTGAGGCCATTTGGGGAGTGAACCAGCAGATGGAAGATCTTTCTCTCTGTCTATAATTCTACCCCTCAAATAAATAATAAATTAAAAAAAATAAATAAAATTAATTTAAAAAATCTAACTTGGGGCCAGCATTGTAGCACAGCAGGTCACATACGGGAGCTGATTCAAGTCCGGGCCACTCCACTTCCCATCCAGCACCCTGCTAATTGCCTGGGAAAGCAGTGGAAGAGCCTCAAATGGGGCCCCTGCTACCCAGGCGGGAGACCCAGATGACGTTCCTGGCTTTGGCCTGGTCTGGCCGAGCCCGGGCTGTGGTAGTCATTTGAAAAGTGAACCAGTGAATGGAAGATTCTCTCTCTAACTGACTTTCAGATAAATAAATCTTAAAAAAAAAAAGGAGTGGAGGGCATGAATTTTTTAAGTTTATCCCAAGGGAATACCTCTCCCCAAAGACAGAAACATTGCTCTCAAGGGGCCGCACTGGGGTCCTCAGGGACCCAGCAGCACCCAAGGCACACCCTGGGCCACGTGTGTGAGGAACACAGATCCCGCCTTCTAGAGCTCACGCCTGGGACAGACGTGGTTGTTTATTCACTTAGTATTTATAGCCCACCCTGCTCTACAAAAGGATTAGGACTGGCTCACACTTCGTTGAAGTAACTCGAATACAAGGGAGATGGTGACAAATGCACAAAAGAGGAAAGCGAAGAAGAGATTTATAGATTTCAGCCCAGTCTCAAGACTGGGGACCTTGAAGGACGGGGGTGGGGGGGATGGATTCCCGCCATCCAGCCTCCTTCCGCCTGCTCTGGATCTACCCAAGTATGAGTCACTGCTCAGACAGAAAGCGGTGCCCTGGAAAGAACTGAAGGGGGAAGGGGCTGGGGCTGGGCAGCCAGGCTTCAAACTCCCCCAACTCTCTGAGCCCCAGTTTCCTCATCTATTAAAAAAAAAAAAAAAAAACTGACTTGTAGGATTAATGGATTAATGTGAAGATCAAATGAGGTCATGGGTATAAAGATGTGAAACGTAAAGGGTAAGGGCCGGTGCTGTGGCGCAATGGGTTAAAGCCTCAGCCTGCAGTGCTGGCATCCTATATGGGCACCAGTTCGAGTCCTGGCTGCTACACTTCCAGACTTCCAGCTCTCCGATATGGCCTAGGAAAGCAGTAGAGGATGGTCCAAGTGCTTGGGCCCCTGAACCCACGTGGGAGACCTGGAAGAAGCTCCTGGCTCCTGGCTCCTAGCTTCAGATCAGGTCAGCTCTGGCCATTGTGGCCATCTGGGGAGTGGACCAGCAGATGGAAGACCTCTCTCTCTCTGGCTCTACTTCTCTTTGTAACTCTTATCTTTCAAATAAATAACATAAATCTGGAAGGAAGGAAGGCAGGAAGGAAGGAAAGTAAAGGATACAGATAACTCTCAGCCCCTACCACAGGCCTGAAGGAGTGAAACGCACAAAGGAATGGCAGACAGTAGAGTGCAGAGGGGCCGGCACTGTGGCGCAGCAGGTGAAGCAGCCCCCTGCGACGCGGCACCATATCAAACTCCCGTGTGAGAGCCAGCTGCTCTGCTTCTGATCCAGCTCCTTGCTAGTTTACCTGGGAAAGCAGAGGAAGATGCACCTGGCCCAGTCACGGCCATGGCAGTCAGTCTGGGGAGTGACCCCGTGGATGGAGGATCTCTCTCCCTGTCTCTCACTATTTTATTTATTGAAATAAAGACACACACAGAGAGAGAAAGATCTTACATCAGCTGGTTCACTCCCCAGATGGCCACAACGGCCAGAGCTGGCCCAGGCTTAAGCCAGGAGCCTGGAGCTTCATCAGGGTCTCCCATGTGGGTGCAGGGCCCCAAGCATTTGGGCCATCTTCTGCTGCTTTCCCAGACACATCAGCAGGGAGCCGGATTGGAAGTGGGGCAGCTGGGACTCCCATCGGCACCCATGTGGGATGTTGCAGGCAGCAGCTTAACTGCTGAGGCACAATGCCGGCCCCAGTAAAGCAATATATGTTGACAAGCAGAGGTAGACAGCAAGAGAGAGAGAGAGAGAGAGAGACAGAGAGAAAGGTCTTCCTTCCATTGGTTCACCCCCCAAATGGCCGCTACAGCCAGTGTGTTGCGGCCAGCATGCTGCCAGGAGCCAGGTGCTTCCTCCTGGTCTCCCATGGGGTGCAGGGCCCAAGGACTTGGGCCATCCTCCACTGCACTCTGGCCACATCAGAGAGCTGGCCTGGAAGAGGAGCAACAGGGACAGAATCCCGCGCCCCAACCGGGACTAGAACCCAGGGTGCCGGCGCCGCAGGCGGAGGATTAGCCTAGTGAGCCGCGGCGCCAGCCCCAGTAAAGCAATCTTAAAAAAACAAAGTGAGTGCACAGCCCAGAGAACACGGCGTGCTCCGACACAGGACAGCATGCTTCTGCCTGGCAGACGCGTGCCTCCTCCCTGCCCCAGGCTAACACGCAGCCCGCGGCCTACCCTGTACTGCTGCACCTCCTCGTCGCGCTTCTGCCTGGCGAGCGCGATCTGGTCCTCCAGGTTCCGGTTCTGCAGGTGGAGCTGCCGGGCCTCTGCCTGCAGGGGTCTCAGGGCCTCCTTCATCTCCTGGATCTCCGCCTGCGTTTTCTGCAGAGCTTTGGCCCCGGCCTCTTTCCGCTCCAGGAGCCGCAGCAGCTGAGGCTCGTACTCCTCCTCCAGGCCCTGGCGGCTTTCCGCCATGAGACTTTCGAACTGGGCAGAGAGCCGCCGGCTCTCCTGGAGGAAGTGCCCATCGCTCTGGCTCGGGGGTGCCTCGAGTCGTTGCCGCAACTGCTCCTTCTGCTTCCGGTAGGCGTCCCGGAGCTGCGCCAGCTCCTCGGAGAGCTGGGCCGCCCGCGTGGTCAGCACCTGCCGACAGTCGGCAAACTGGGCCACGTCCTGCTGGCGGCACTCCAGCTGGTACTGGTAGGCCACGCACTCCTTGGTCACCTTGAACAGCTTCTGCTTGACCAGCCGCACCTCCTCCCGGAGCCCGTCCCGCTGCAGCTCGGCCTGCGCGTGCAGCTTGTAGGCAGCCAGGATGTCCCCGTGCACTTGCTGCACCTCCCGCAGGGCCGGTTCTCGCAGCAGCACCAGCTCGTGGATGAGCTGGTCCCGCTCCTCTTCCAGGCGGGCCACGGCCTGCACGCACTGCTGGAAGCGCTGCTCCAGCACCTCCAGGTCCTCGGCGCTCAGGCTCTCCTCGGTGCTGGGCGGCGGCGGCGGCGGCGGCGGTGCTACTGCCCGGCTCTCCTCGGGGCTGGGCTTCTCCTCGCTCCCGACCGCCTCTGCCTGGTCCGCGGCCTGCGCGGGCCTCGAGGTCTCCCCTGGCTCCGCGGGCGCCACCGCAGGCACCTCCTCATCCGGCGCCTCCTCGATGAACAGGGTCGCCGCTGGCTTCTCAGTGTCTTCCAGAGAGAGCGGCTCGGCCAAGTCATCAGAGTCCCCCAGGTAGAGAATGTCTTCTAGGTTCAGGGACCACTCCAGAGAGAGCGCAGCTTCTGGGTCCAGGGTCTCTGCCTCATTCAGGGATCCAGAGGTCTCCTCTGCTCCCGACGCCCTGCAAGAGAGACAGATGGTTGGGAGTGAAAGGGCAGTCATGGAGCCGAGTGCTGGTGTCCAAAGCCAGGAGCCCGGGCGTCACACCCACACACACAGCCCCACCACCCTGACGGCACCCCCGCGGGTCACTGTGGTCCCTGACCCATCCTTGAGGGTGGGAAACTCCCAGGGCAGGCGTCCCTGTGTCCCACGGTCCTAGCCACACCCTGTGTTAGAAAACTTTCCTTGCCATAGCTGCGTGTGGGCTCCATTCTCCCTTCCAGACTCACACAGTTCTAACGGTTTTCCCCCAGTGTTCCATCCATGCCACACCCTCCAGGCCCTCCTCACTGGCTTCTCCAGGTGCTCCGTCCAGGTCTCCCACATGGGTGGCAGGGGCCCAAGTACCTAAGCCATCATCTGCTACCTCCCAGGTGCACTAGCAAAAAACTGGATTAGAAGTATGGGGGAAGGGGGGGCCAGCGATGCGGCTCAATAGGCTAATCCTCCGCCTTGCGGTGCCGGCACACCGGGTTCTAGTCCCGGTCAGGGTGCCAGATTCTGTCCTGGTTGCCCCTCTTCCAGGCCAGCTCTCTGTTGTGGCCCGGGAGTGCAGTGGAGGATGGCCCAAGTACTTGGGCCCTGCACCCCATGGGAGACCAGGAAAAGCACCTGGTTCTTGGCTTCGGATCAGCGCAGTGCGACAGCCGCAGCGCACTGGCCACTGCGGCCATTGGAGGATGAACCAACAGTAAAGGAAGACCTTTCTCTCTGTCTCTCTCTCTCTCTCACTGTCCACCACTCTGCCTGTCAAAAAAAAAAAATGAAGTCCGGGGGAGGGGGGTGACCTCAGGACTCCTCTATGGGATGCAGCATCCCAAGCAGGGGCTTACCCCGCTGTACCACAACACCCACCCCGCCCCATCGTGCTCTTCCAAGTGCTGAGTCTAACTAAAATATTTACGGCTGGGGGCCAGTGCTGTGACATTACAGGTTAAGCCTCTGCCCGTGGCGCCAGCATATGGGTGCTGGTTTAAGTCCCGGCTGCTCCTTTTCTGATCCAGCTCTCTGCTATGGCCTGAGAAAGCAGTGGAAGATGGCTCAAGTGCTTGGGCCCCTGCACCCACGGGGGAGACCCGGAGGAAGCTCCTGGCTTCTGGCTTTGGATTGGCTCGACTCAGCTCTGGCTGGCGTAGCCATTTGGGGAGTGAACCAGTGTATGGAAGACATCTCTCCCTCTCAAATAAATAAATAACTCTTCAAAAAAAAATCCTTTAAGGCCTTTTCACACCAAGTGCTATTAAGCCACATCCCGTATTCCTGTAAAACAGCATCTTGTTAGAAGTAGCCAATCTCCTGGCCCATCAAAGGCACGACTCAGATTCTGTGACTCCAACATAGGAGATCCTTGACGGAGCTGCCTGTGGCCTGCCAGCTTAGTCAGTTCCTGCACTGGCCCATGGATGGTTGTGGGCTTCAGTTTCAAATGCATCTTACCTACCGTGGACCTTAGGAAAAATTTTAAAAAGATGCATGTATGTATTTATTTGAAAAGTAGAGTTAGAGACAGAGAGATCTTGCATCTGCTGGTTCATTCCCCCAAAAGGCCTCAACATCTGGGGCTGGGCCAGGCCAAAGTTCGAAGCCAGGAACTCTGTCTGGGTCTCCCACGTGGGTGCAGGGGCCTGAGCACTTCCACCTTCAGCTGTTTTCCCAGGCACACTAGCAGGAAGCGGGATTAGAGGCAGAGCAGCTGGGACTCAAGCCAGTACTCTGACACGGGAGGCAGGTGTCATGCTTTCCATGTTTCAACTCATTTAATCATCATCATTCTATGAGGCTGTTTTCATGTTATCCCCATTTTATAGATCAGGAAACTGAGGTTAGAACAGATGCACTTGCTCAAGGTAACTCAGACCCTCAGTGTGCATCACTCATAAAACAGACTAAATTTGAGCATAGCATAGCCTTCAGGAAGTTTTTCTCCCTTCCAGATACAGAGCACAGTTGTCCTTTGGCGTCTGTGGGGGATTGGCTCCTGTGTGGGACCAAAATCTGCAGCTGCTCAAGTCCCTTATAGAATACGGCGGCACAGGTGCAGGCGTTCTGGTGCAGCAGGTGAAGCCGCCACTTGGCATTCCTGCACCCCGTATCCACGTGTCTCCAATCAAGACCCACCTCTGTTTCTGACCAGCTTCCACACTTGCTGGCTTATGGCTCCTGTTCAGCTTGGCACAGCCCTGCCTGTTGCAGGCATTTGAGAAGTTAACTAGCAGATAAATCTCTTTCCCTCCCTCCCCCCTTTCAAATAAACTTTGTTTTTCTTTTTTTAAGATTTATTTATTTGGGGCCGGTGCTGTGGCGCAGCGGGTTAACACCCTGGCCTGAAGCACAGGCATCCCATATGGGCGCCGGTTCTAGTCCTGGCTGCTCCTCTTCCCATCCAGCTCTCTGCTGTGGCCTGGGAAAACAGTAGACGATGGCCCAAGTGCTTGGGTCCCTGCACCCACGTGGGAGACCTGGAAGAAGCTCTTGGCTTTGGATCAGCGCAGCCAATTGGGGAGTGAACCAGCATATGGAAGACTGTCTCTCTGCCTCTCCTCTCTCTGTGTAACTCTGACTTTCAAATAAATAAATCTTTTTTTTTTTTTTAAAGATTTATTTATTTACTTGAGAGGCAGAGTTACAGAGAAAGAGAAAGAGGTCTTCCATCCTTTGGTTCACTCCCCAAATGGCCACAGTGGCCAGAGCTGGGCCAATCTGAAGCCAGGAGCTTCTTCCAGGTCTCCCGCATGGGTGCAGGGGCCCAAGCACTTGGGCTGTCCTCTACTGCTTTCCCAGGCCATCAGCAGGGAGCTGGATTGGAAGTGGAGCAGCCGGGACTCAAACCAGCACCAATATGGAATGCTGGCACTGCAGGCAGATGCTTAACCTACTACACTACAGCATCGGCCCCCCAAATAAGCTTTAAAAATAAATGAAATGGTATATTTACAGATAACCAATGTACACTTCCCACGTACTTGAAAACTTCTCCAGATTACTTGAACACCTAATATAATGTAAGTGCTATAAAGTGGTTGTTAGACCGTATAGATAGGGATCAAGGACAAGAGAAGTCGGGGCGGGGGCCAGGGAGCACAGGAGCTGGGATGCACCGGGTTAGGCTGCAGCTTGGGAAGCCTGCATCCCAGATCGGAGTCCCTGGTTTGAGTGCAATCCAGCTTCCTGCAGCAGATGATGGCTCAAGTATATTTAGGTTTCTACCACCATGTGGGAGACCCAGATGGGGTTCCTGGCTCCCAGCTTCAGCCTGGCCCCGCTCTAGCTGTTGTGGGCATTTGGGGAGTGAACCAATGGAGGGAAGTTCTATCTCTATCGCTCCCTCCTTCTCTATCTGTGTCATTCTGCCTCAAATAAATTAATAGACTTAAAAAGTCTGTACAGGGGCTGGTGCTGTGGTGTAATGGGTAAAAGCCTCTGCTTGCAACACCAGCATCTCATTTGGGTGCTGATCCAGCTCCCTGCTAATGGCTTGGGAAAAGCAGCAGAAGATGGCCCAAGTGTTTGGGCCCCTGCCACCCACTTGGTAGACCTGGAATATGCTCCTGGCTTTGGATCCGAGTAGCTCCGGCCTTTGTGGCCATCTGGGGAGTGAACCAGTGGATGGAAGACCTCTCTCTCTACCTCTGCCTCTCTGTAACTCTGCCTTTATAATAAATATTAAGGGGAAAAAAAGATCTCATATAATTTGTGACCTTAAAAAAAAGGAAGTTTGGCCTACCGGATAAAATACTGTTAGCAAGCCTGTGTCCCGCATAGGAGTCCCTGGGTTTAATACCTGGTTCCAGCTCCTGACTTCCGCTTCCTGTTAATGCAGACCCCAGGAGACAGCAGATGACTTACTGGCTCAAATGACTAAGTCCCTGCCACCCATGTGGGAGACCCGTACTGAGTTACAGTTTCCCAGCCTTGGCCCCGTCCTGCCCATTGAGGGCATTTGGGCAATGAATCATTGGATTGGAGCACTCTCTCTCTCTCTACCACTCAGATTAGAAAAAAAAAATTTTAAGTCACACAGTATGATTTTTTTCAAATATTTCTGATCAGCAGTTGGCTGAATTAAAAAAAATATGGAACCCACAGATACAAAGGATTGACTGCTTAAATCAAGAAAGTCCAGGCCTGCGCCACGACTTAGTAGGCTAATCCTCCACCTTGCGGCACCGGCACACCGGGTTCTAGTCCTGGTCGGGGCGTCGGATTCTATCCCGGTTGCCCCTCTTCCAGGCCAGCTCTCTGCTGTGGCCAGGGAGTGCAGTGGAGGATGGCCCAAGTGCTTGGGCCCTGCACCCCATGGGAGACCAGGATAAGTACCTGGCTCCTGCATTGGATCAGCGCGGCGGCCATTGGAGGGTGAACCAACAGCAAAGGAAGACCTTTCTCTCTGTCTCTCTCTCTCTCTCTCACTGTCCACTCTGCCTGTCCAAAAAAAAAAAAAAAAAAAATCAAGAAAGTCCATGCGGTCTCAAAGAACTTGATTTACGATATTGAAAAGGCCGCTGCATGGGGCCAGCATTGTGGCATAGCGGGTTAAGCCACCTGCTTGCACCTGGCATCCCATATCAGAGTGCCAGTAAGTGCTTGGGGATGCAGCAAGTGATGGCCATATACATGGGTCCCTGCTGCCCACGTGGGAGATCCAGGTGGAGTGCCTGGCTCCTGGCTTAGCCTTGGCTGTTGTAGACATTTGAGGAGTGAACCAACAGATGGAAAACCTCTCTCTCTCTTTCTGTAACTCTTTCAAATAAATAAATAAATCTTTAAAAAGAAGAAAAGAAAAGGCTCCTGCTCGTCTTCGAGTTTTTACTTTTATTTTTTAAGATTTATTTATTTATTTGAAAGTCAGAGTTACACAGAGAGAGGAGAAGCAGAGAGAGAGAGAGAGAGAGAGAGAGAGAGAGAGGTCTTCCATACACTGGTTCACCCCCTAATTGGCCGCAGTGGCCAGAACTGCGCTGATCAGAAGCCAGGAGCCAGGAGCTTCTTCCAGGTCTCCCATGCAGGTGCAGGGGCTCAAGGACTTGGGTCATCTTCCACTGCTTTCCCAGGCCATAGCAGAGAGCTGGATTGAAAGAGGAGCAGCTGGGTCTTGAAACGGCACCCATATGGGATGCCAGTGCTTTAGGCCAGGGCGTTAACCCGCTTAAGTTTTTACTTTTAAATATTTATTTGTTTGTTTGAAAGGAAGAGTTACAGAGAGAGAGAGAGAGAGAGAGAGAGAGAGAGAGGAGAGATTCCATCTGTTGGTTCACTTCCCAATTGGCCATGATGGCTGGGGCTTGGCCAGGCCAAAGCCAGGAGCTTCTTCCAGTCTCCCACGTGGGTGCAGGGGCCCGAGGACTTGGGTCATCTTCTGCTACTTTCCCAGGTGCATTAGCAGAGAGCTGGATCAGAAGTGAAGCTGCCGGGACTCGAACAGGCGCCCATCTGGGATTCAGGTGGTGGCTCAATCTGCTACGCCACAACACCAGCCCCTGTGTTCAGATTTTAGCTCTAACTTGTAACTCCAAGTTCCTAATGAGGATTTTTATTTTAAAACATGATGTACTCTCCTCCTGTGTGACACGCCTTTCTGCACCTCAGAGAGGCTTCTGGAAGCCATAAAAGTGGCTTCGCCAGGCCCCGACCATCACTGACCTCAGTCGCCTGGCCCCCGTGCCAAACACGGAGCAAGAAGACAACCTGAACCATCGCCAGTCATCCTTATCACCTTAGCAGACAGGCAGAGAGGAAGTGGTTTCCAGCCTTTCTCACCTGCTGTCACAGGCACCTGCCACTCAACCGCTCCCAAGTTGTCTCCCCTGCCCTGCGTGCTGCCTCTGTATTCTCCAGCCAGCAGAAACACATGGCCACACTCAGGAGACTGCAGATGAGGCCAGAAAGCTCTCCACAGCTCTCTCCTTCCCCTCGGAGCCAATGCTCTGGGAACTGAGTTTCTGAGCTCAGAAAGCCTCATCTCCACCCACTGCCAGGGCCCTTGTCCAAGCCATCGTCTCTTACTGGCACTCGTGTGCCAGCCTTCTAAAGGCCTTGCCTCCTTCCTCCCCCAAGTCTCTGCTCCGCAGTGCCACACTTAGCTGATTACAGCATAAAGAGAACCATGCTGCTCCACGTCACAGGTCCTCAGAGATGTGGCCCTAGCCTGTTTGTTGTAGTCTCAACCTGTGGGTCACTCCTGTAGCCCAGCCAATACTCACCAACCCAGGACACCTGGGACCTATGCACACCTGCTACTCTTAGCTCTCTGTGTCTCAATGATTCAGCCACTTGAATACCCCCTGGCTAGAGAACAGTCCTGCACTCCCTGGGAAGGTAGTGCTCCCAGCACCAGAGAGGATGCACCTGCTCAGCCAGCAGGACGCACCGCACACTCAACAGAACCCCCCCTTTCCCAGCAGAGGCCCCTCATGTCATGCTCCTGCCCAGGCCCCCACCTTGGATTGTGTTCAAGGCACTATTCCAAGAAGTTCACAGGAATCCTCAAATACAGAATGCTTATCTCATTTTTTTAAAAAAGATGTATTTATTTATTTGAAAGGATGACAGAGAGAGGGAGAAACAGAGAAACCCATCCTCTGGTTCACCGCAAATGGCCAACATCAGCCAAGCCTGAGCCAGGTCAAAGTCACAAGCTAGGAACTCTGTATGGACCTCCTACATGGCTGGCAAAGGCCCAAGCACTTGGGCCATCTTCTGCTGCCTTCCCAGACACATTAGCAAGAAGCTGGATCTGAAGAGGAGTAGCCAGGACTCAAACGGGCGCTTCAATACGGGACGATGGCGTTGCAAGCAGCAGCTTCACCCACTGCGCCACGACACGGGTCCCAGGCTCATCTCATATCCCCGCTTTACAGATGAGGAAGGCAAAGCACAGAGTAAAGAACTCACACGGGGGTCTGGAGGCCGTGTTGGTCGGGGAGCCTGGGGATGCCTGGCAGTGTTTGCCACTGTGCTAGGGTAGGGGTGAGACCTAAGAGGGAATTAGGGCACACAACACACAGCTAGTGGAGCCAGTGTCACGGAGCAGCAGACCAGGCAGCCACCTGTGACACTGGCATCCTACAGGAGCGCCAGTTCCAGCCCAGGCTGCTCCACTGCCGATCCAAGCTTCCTGCTAATGCGCCTGGGAAAGCAGTGGAAAGTGGCTCAAGTACCTGGGCCCTGCCACTCACATAGGAGACCCAGATGCAATTCCAGGCTCCTGCCTTCCTGCCACTCTGGCCATCTGGGGAGTGAACCAGCAAATGAAAAATCTCTCTCTCTCCCTCTGTTTCTCAAACAAATAAATACATCTTTCAGTTTTAAGATTTACTTGAAAGGCAGAGTTACCGAGATGGTGAGACAGAGAGAGATCTTCCATCTGCTGGTTCGCTCCCCAAATGGCCAAAATGGCCAGGGCTGGAACAGAGCAAAGCCAGGAGCCAGGAGCTTCCTCCAGGTCTCCCACACGGGTGCAGGGGCCCAAGGACTTGGGCCATCTTCTACTGCTTTCCCAGGCCACAGCAGAGAGCTGGATCAGAAGTGGAGCGGCTGGGACTCGAACCAGCACCCATATGGGATGTTAGAGGGCGGCAGCTTTACCCACTACGCCACAGCACTGGCCCCCAAATAAATCCATCTTTTAAAAAATAAAGAATTAAACTTCACACGGCTTGGCACACAGCGGTCAGAATATGTGTTCTTTAACAGTTCCTACACTTCCTGAAGCCTCGCTCAAATGCCCTCCGCTGTGCAGTGTTTCCCAGGCGCCATCTCCCTCCCCGGGCACCGTGAACGCAGCTGGTCTTGCACTCAGCCCTCCGCATTTCACAAGTACAGGCGTCTGTCTCCGTGCCAGCGACCCTGCTGAAGACAAGTGTGCGACTCCCTCGTCCCCTATTCCCCCGGGGTGGGGGGTCTGTAACAGGCAGGCAGGCAGAAACCCAAGGCGCTCCAAGGTGGAAACTGGCCCAAGGTCAAACGGCAAAGCTGGAAGTGGAAGCCGGGTGTCCTGGGCGGCTACCACACAGCCTGCGTCAGCCACCCAAGGTGTCAGGTGCTGCTGGAGGCTGCCCCCCCGCCCCACAGCTGCCCAGGGGAGACAGAGCCAGTGTCGCTGGGGCTCCTCACCCCAGGCTCCCCAAGGCCCCACCGCTGCTACTCAGTCCCTGTCCCCAAGCTGCCCACCAGGACTGTGGTGGGGCTGTGTCTGCCTGTGTCTACCTGTCTGGCCTACAGCAGTAGGGGTGAGTGAGCGCACATGTAACTGTGCTGGGCCCTGTCCCCTTGGGTGACAGTGACTGGGTGTCACCGGGTCTTTGCTCTGCCACCTCTTGGCACACCAGGAGCTCCCAGGGCCCCAGCCTGATCTGAAGACAGAAAAACTCCCCACTCTCCCCCAACCCCCTGAGCCGGGTAAACTGAGGCTGGATAGATTGGAGGGTTTCCTGCGGCTGGGCTGAGACGGCAGACCCCCCTCCACCCCAGCCCGGGGGCAGCTGGGACCACAAGCTGCCTGGGCAGACTGAATCTGAAGCTGGCAGATGCCCAGCCTTGCGCCAAGTGTCCTACATGGCGAAGCCGGCCACTGGAGACCTCCGCACCCGGCACGTTTGGCGTGAGGGGGCAAAGGGAACCGAGTCGTGAGTGTCTGCAGGCCACCCGGCAGGTGAGCAGTGCCGGCCACTGGCACGAAAGGGTTAATTCTCACGCATCCCGTAGGAGGGGGAGGGACAAGGACGCCCCGCGTGGGCGGAGGCGCTAGGACCCCGACCTCTACTCTCCGGCTCCCGGCTGCGGGTGGCTCCGCCCCACGCCCCACCCTGGCGGGACCACCACCCCACAGGCAGGCGAAGGGGGCCCGCGGCGCGCCCCGCACCCCCTCCCCGCAGGGCCGGCGACGCGGGTCCCGGACGGTCCTACCTCGCGGCCTGGGCGGCGCCATCCCCGCCGCGCGGCAGCTCCGGGCTGGCCATGGCTGCGCGACCCCGAGCTGGGCGGCCGCGTTATTAATAGCGGGCCCCGCGGCACTCGCCCGGCGCCCGCGCCAGCCGCACTGCCAGCTGCAGCCGACACCGGATCCCGCCGGCCCCAGGCCGGGCGCGCCCACTTGGCCCGGGCTCCTGCTCGCGGGGGGGAAGAGGGGGAGCGGCCGCACGGCCCTGGGGGCGGGGAGAGGCCGCCCCTTCCCTCCCCGCCCGGGATGGGTGGGGGGCGCTTAGTGGCGCCTCCAAAACTGGCCAGCCCCGAACCTCCCCGCACCTTCCTCCTCCCCGCCTTTCCCTTCCCGGGGTCCTGGTTGCGGGGACGAGGGAGGGGGCCGTGCAATCTCCGGAGAGCCCTTCCACGGCCCAGCACGGGGAGAGGGCTCGGGCCGGGGATCTGTAGGTATCCAGCACCCAGCACCCCCTTCAACACACGCACACAGGTCGCAAGTGATTGGCAGGGTCGGCGCCTTCCGACCCCCGCCAGTGCACCGCGCAGGGGCCTGGCGCGCGGCCACGCTCCCGGCGGCGCCCGGAGGAGCGCTGTGCCGCTGTGCCCGCAGCTGTCGCGGAGGGGTGGGGCAGGGCGCGGGCGGGCGCCGTGGCGCGGGCGGTGGGGGGTTAGCGGCCACACCCCGAGTGCCTGGGGACAGCCTGGGGCCTGGGGCCCCGTGGCTGGGTTTCCGGAAGGACTGGGAGGATGGCCCAGGGAGTTAAGCCTGCAAGCTGGAGTTCTGCTGCCCCACCCAGTGAGGTTCCCTGGGGCCTCTCCCTGAGGTCCACCTGTCACCCCCCTCAACTGGGCTTCTTCCAGCTGCCAGGCAAAACCCCTCGGCCCCACGGTCAGGGTCAAACCAGTCCTCAAGTGCGAAGCTGCCGGCCCTCCCTCCCTCCCGGACCTGGGCCCCTGGCGTCCTCCCAGCTGATTCATGTTTTCCACTTAGCGCCCTTGGGTCCCGGGTGGTCCTTGCCTCAGTCGAGAAGAACGCGGGAGGGCCTGGATCCTGGTGTTTCATCAAAGGCCTGGAGTATGGGGTGGGGGTAGGGTACTCCTGCCGTTGTGTGGCATGGGGTGGGCTTGGGGGCAGCTGTGCCAGGAAGGTGTGTCCATGGTTTCGAGTCTGGTGTGTGGAGGGCAAGCCTAGGGGGTTGTATGCCCATGTGTGACTCTGGGGGGACCCGGCCTTTTGTGGTGGGCATGTGGATTTGCGACTGCTGGGTCCCAGGGACTGGGCCTGCGGGGGGGAGGGGCTATAGTGACCAGTGACACGCACGTCACGTGTGTTGGAGATTGGGTGCCCTGCCTGGGGGCCGATGTGTGTGGTTGTCGCAGCAGGGGGCGGGTTGGTGCGCCCCAGCAGCTGTGTGCGTGTCCTGTGTGTGTGTGACCGGGGTCCGTGCCGGGGTTCATTCATCGGCGTGTGTCTGAGTGTGCACGTGCTGCGGCTGTATAGCTCTATCCCTAACCCCTCCGGGCGGCCCAGCACACCCTTGTAAGGCATGCACGAGAAAAAGCCGGGTTTCCAAGGCTGCTGGTCATTTTCTGACTTAGGCCTGAACTATTCCCGGGGAGGAGGTTGGCAGCGCCCCAGCTGCTGGCTGCCTGATAACTGGTGCCAGTCAGAGGGGCGCGGAGGGAGCAGGGCCAGGCCTGCCAGGGCACTGTTTGCTGCTGATGCCAGGCAACGGGCAGCACGGATGGCCTTTGGCAGGGTCATCCCGGCCCCTGCAGCGTGGCCCAGGAGCTGACCCCGGGCAGTTCCCCAGGGCTGCCTGCCTGCCCCCCAGCACCTCTCTTCTTGGCCCAGACACGGAGTCTCCCAGGGTCCCGGACACTCTTCCATTTCTGGGCCATTGTTCTCACTGTTGGCTGAGCCTGGAGCACCTATCCCAGCTCCTCCTGTGCCTGCTTCTCCTCTCCCTCCTTCAGCTCTCAACTTGCGCCATCCGTTCAGCCGGCCCCTGCCCTCAGTGTCCACCTGTTTGCTCTTTTTGTTTTGAAAGATGCATTTCTTTATTCAAAAGGCAGAGTGCGGGATCTGACATTGTGGTGCAGCAGGTTAAGCCACTGCCTGTGATGCCGTCAGCCCATATAAACGCAGGTTTGAGTCCAGGCTGCCCTACTTCAGATCCAGCTCCCAGTGAATGAACCTGGGGCTGGGGCGGGGGGTAGGGGGTGTATGCAGCAGAGATGGCCAAATGCTTGGGCCCCTGCCACCCATGTCACTTTCAAATAAATACATTTTTTTAAAGATGTTTTTATTTGTTTGAAAGTCAGAGTTACAGAGAGAGGAGAGGCAGAGAGAGGGGTCTTCCATCCAATGGTTCACTCTCCAGATGGCCACAACAGCTGGAGCTGGGCCAATCTGAAGCCAGGAGCCAGGAGCCTCCTCTAGGTCTCCCATGCGGGTGCAGGGGCCTAAGGACTTGGGTCATCTTCTACTGCTTTTCCAGGTCATAGCAGAGAGCTGGATCAAAGAGGAGTAGCCGGGACTAGAACTGGCGCCCATAAGGGATGCCAGGGCTTCAAGCCAGGGCGTTAACCTGCTGCGCCACAGTGCCAGCACCACTTTACCACTTTTTTTTTTTTTTTTTTTTTTTTTAGGCAGAGTTACGGAGAAACAGGGAGAGAGATCTTCTGTCCACTGGTTCACTCCCCAAATGGCCCAACAGCCGGATCTGGGCCAGGCCAAAGCAAGGAGCCAAGAACCCCATCTGAGTCTCCCACATGGGTGGCAGGGACCCCAGTACTTGGGCCATTGTCTGCTGCCTCGCAAGAGCGTGAGCAGGACATTGGAACCAAAGCAGGGAGTAGCCAAGACTCCAGCGGGCACTCTGATAGGAGATGCTGGTGTCCCGAGCCACAGCTTGACCCCCTGCACCACAATCCCTGCCCCATCTGTTTGTTTCCTTTCTGTCTCCTCACCTGTGTCTTTGTACAGAAATCTTCTGCCACACAATTGTTCATTTTCAATTCCTTCCTTCTCAGTTTTCCCCACCGGGATGGAAGCCCTACAGGAGCAGGGAGTGTGTGTGTGTGTGTGTGTGTGTGTGTGTGTCACTGCTGGGATCCCAGGAGCAGCAGCGCCTGGCACATGGGGAAAATCGTTGAAGGAAGGAAGGAAGGAGGGTCCTACCAGGGCAGATTCAGGCAACAGTTGATGCCGCCTGGGCGGCAGGCTTGGGCTGCTCACCACCAGGCAGGCCCAGTGGGTGTAGGGAGCACAACCACGCATGTGCCCAGATGGTGTCTTCTCCCAGGCAGGATGAGCTAAGCGAGGTACAGGACTCAGTTCACTTGGCAAGCACTGGTGCTGGGTCTGTGCCAGGCCTGTGTCAGAGCAAATGGCCTTATTTGGCCCAGGCCTGCAAGAAGCTTTCATTGTAGAGAAGGCTAGAACGGTCTCCTGGGGTGGAGAGGCCTGGGCCGAGAATGATGCCAGATCGCTGGGCTGAGTGCCGTGATCAGCATGGAGAACCAGGGAAGCTGGGGCCAGAGAGCTCAGCTCTGAGCTTGTGACAGCCTCTTGGACAAAAGAACCTGCACTGGAAGGTTGAGAAAGGCACAGGTGCACGTTCAAGGCCAAGGGCAGCCACGCCGTCAGCCTCCCCACAAAGCCAAATGGGGAAGAAGAGAGAAAGCTGACCTTGGTGACAGGCTCACCGAGGGAACACCTGGCCTTCTGGCTTCAGGTGGGGTGTGGCCAACAGGAGACCTCCGCAGGAGACTGGAGTGGGAGAACGGGATGTGAATATTTACTTATTATGCCTGCCTCTGGCGGTTACTGGGTCTCTCTAATGAAGATTTAGCTCCTGTTGGTCAGGTGCCCTGCACCCATGGGTACAGACCCTGTCAGTTTCCTTAGTAAAACTCCCTCCCTAGGGGCTGCTGCTGTGGTGCAGTAGGTTAAGCCTCTGCCTGCAGCACTGGCATCCCATATGGGCAGTGGTTTGAATCCCGGCTGTTCCACTTCCCATTCAGCTCTCTGCTAATATCCTGGGAAATCAGTAGAAGATGGTCTCAGTGCTTGGGCCCCTGCACCCATGTGGGAGACCCAGATAAAGCTCCTGGCTTCGGATCAGCCCAGCTCCAGCCATTGCAGTCATTTAGGGAGCAAACCAGGGGATGGAAAACCAGAGGAACCCCTCAGCCCACCTTACTCAGTCTTTTTTTTTTTTTTTTTTTTTTTTTTTTTTTTTTGAGATTTACTTATTTGAAAGGCAGAGTTACAGAGAGGCAGAGGCAGAGAGAAGTCTTTCATCCTGTGGTTCACTTCCCGAATGGCCGCTACGGCCAGAGCTGCACCGATCCGAAGCCAGGAGCCAGGAGCTTCTTTCAGGTCTCCCACGCAGGTGCAGGGGCCCAAGGACTTGAACCATCTTCTACTGCTTTCCCAGGCCACAGCAGAGAGCTGGATCAGAAGTGGAGCAGCCAGCACTCAAACCAGTGCCCATATGGGATGCTGGCACTGCAGGCGGTGGCTGTACCTGCTACACCACAGCACTGCCCCCCTACTCAGTCTTAAGCCTGTAATGACCTGGGTCGGGGGAAGGGGTAAAGGGGTGCTGTGAGGGCACAGGAGTGGGGGGCGGAATTGGGGCGGTGGCAGAGCAATGAGCAGGGCAGTGGGGAGGCAGAGCCCGGGCATTGCCTCCCACCATGCCCCAGAGCACATGCAAATGGCCAGGGGAAGCCATGCTCTCTCAACCTCAGTTCCTTGCCAGCGAAGTGGGCGGCTGGCACCCAGGGGTGCAGCTCCTCCTCACAAGACTGAAAAGCTGTCAGCTATGACGCTCCACCCTGGAGTGAGTGGACAGGAAGGTGTCTAGCACGTTTCCTGTTATCAGGATGCAGGCGAGCCAAGCCACTCAGTTGTTTTGTACCAGCAAAACACCTAGAGGCGGGGAGGAGGCACAGCGATGCCTGGAGATGCCTGGAGGGGCCCAGGGAGCCAGGGTGCAATGCAAGCTTTGGGAATGACGGGCCAGAGCCAGAGCTTCGGCACACACCTCCTCGCTGTGTGCCGTTCCGGAAGTCGCTGTTTTCTCCTCTGCAAAACTGGACATTTTTTACATCGCATGTTTACTCTAAGGATGAGCTAATCACAAAAACATTCACCCAAACACCAAAGAAAGA